CCGCCCGCGTTTCTTTCAACCCTTTCATTTTTTTGTTCTTTTTTTTTCCCCCTCTCAGAGGGAGAACAGCCTCGAAAAGCGCGCGAGAGGAATTAAGAAATAGTGTGGCTGTAAATATGATATACACGTGTAGAGAGTAAGGCCGAAGCTATGGAATTTTCATCGGACAGACACGTTCACGGAGAAACGTCATCGCACCGTCCACGTGCCGATGCACCGATCATTCGCATTGACACACACACACATACACACATGCACACACGATCCTAAGTAGATACAGCCACGTGTGTGCACAGACGCGTACATGCGAAGGAGAGAAGAACTTACACACTCACACAAATTGCGCATTGCTTAACTGTCTCTTTATATAGATGTTGACACACGTCGTCACGGGGGGGAAATAATCTCGAATGATGGGTGGGTGGTCTGGAGCTTGGGGGGAGGGGGGGTGGGTTTCGAGTGGTGTAAGACACGACAAGAGCCACTTATAATTGACATAGCATAGCGAACCTTACTGTATTTACCGTGAGATGTAATACCCTTAAACGAAGAAAGAAATGCGAATCTACTGATAGAAGAAGTTGTTCTGCACAAAAAGAAAAACACGATTGCTTCATCGATAATTATAGTGTCTCTTTCTCTCTCTCTCTCTCTGTCTCTGTCTCTCTTTCTCTACCTTGAGAAGAGTAACGTACCTCTCTCTCTATACCTTTATACTAAGTGCTCTATTGATTATTCGTTTTTTCGACACGAGGGAAGCGCTTTACATTCGACGGGACTCGCCTCGCGACGAGTCCGCCTCATTATTAACGAATTGATTATCGATTTACTCTATGATTACTCACACGCTATCGCCGCTAAAAGCCTCATTGTTATTACATTGTTGTCATGATCAACGTCATCGTCGCGTTACTATAGGGGATACAAATTTAAAGAGCCGCCGTCGTCGTATATTGTCATACTATATATTATATATTGTTACCACACACCGAGACACCTTTGAGAAAGGGGTGGGAATCGTGCGAGCGAGAGGTCAGGGAGCCGATGCGGTATGTCTCTGTGGGAGGATTAGCTGCCGATTAATTGGGGGGGGGGGGATAAGGGTCCTCTTATTGAATTAATCAACATCGGCGATTGGTTCCTACTTGGGCAGCGTACTGCATTTCCGTATGCGATATTATACGCGACTTCGCGTGCTGACCTCCTACACCCGTATAAGCGAAACCGGAACGGCTCTCCCCTGAACGATTCTCATTCCAAGGTGCCGCGAGAATTCACTTAATTAGGTGAGAAGCGTGTGACGAGGACATCCGAGTTCTGAATACGTCCGCGTTCAGAGCGATTCGCCGGGATCGGGACACGGCGAATTCGCAGCGTGCGAGTAAAACGGGGGCAGCGGGATTCTATCTGAGAACACATTACGCGCATACGTACACACAGAATTTTATAAAGTAGAATCTCGCTGCGCTTAAAGTAAAAATTAATAAGAAAAAAAAAACTGGAAGACGAGAAACGGAGTAGAAGAAACGGCGCGTTTCGTGTGCGAGAGGACAAACACTTTGTATGCACCCGCCCCCATTGTTCATGCCCATTTGTATTGCGTAGTTGGACCGATCGGTGATTACGGGTCGGTTACAAGATACTATATTATAAATATATAAATATATATGTGTGTATATATATGTATATGCACATATATATATACATATATGTACGAAAAGCAAGACAGAAATGAAACTACTGTAACTACACCTGCCTCTTGTGAATAAATGCCTATTTGTTTCTTTTCACGTGTCTCGTTATTCCCAGCTCGCTGGAGAACCTCGTGCGGCAA